TAACGCGAGGCAATGCGTCATTCATCCGAAGCGAAGCCTTGAGCAACATGCAATGGCTCAGATGTGGCCACGACATCTCCCTTCTCACAGATGTCACAATTTTCCTTCCCGACTCCTAAAAATCATAACTTTCGCATAAAGGCTCCGTTTTTGACGTTCTTTATATCCACGCGAAGGCGATAACGTACTCTAGAACTTTCGTTTAGACTATGTTGGCTATTTTTGGCTTTATTTTAAAAGTTATACCATTAACAGGCCGGGACATGATTGGTCCGTTAAATTCTCATAACTTCTTCATCCGACGTCCGTTTTCGCCCATCTTTTTCTCGTTACGCTACTCTTAACGAGATCTTCGATTCTCGTTTAGGTCGTGTCGGCTAAAAACCGCTCGATCTATTATTCGAATTTCGGGTTGTACACTGTTAATCCGAAACTTCGAAAAATCATAACTTCCTCATACGAAGTCAGATTTGGGCATTCTTTTTATTGACGCTCTTAGTTTAACATACTCTACGACTTTCGTTTAGACCGATAAGGCTAAAACTCGCTTTATCGTAAATTTGCTATTTATGCTTCCCGGTATTGTGTCGGTTCCGTCGTGAAACTTCAACGGATCATAACTTCTTCGTTATAACTCGGATTTCGGTGTTCTTTATATCCCCATAATCCTCGTTTCGACCACTATAACTTTATGTAGAGATATTGTGCTTATCTCACACTTCAATTTTGACGTTTATTTTTATTCTTTATTTATTAAACATTTATAAATATATAATAAGCATAAAAATTCACATAATTCACATAATACTCAAATATTTCATCTTTATTACTTCAAAATGAGTTACAATAGTTGACCTAGACTATTACATTGTCAAAAATGCTTAGCCCTAGAACTCGGGTGTTACAATTCTCTCCCCCTTATGATGATTCCGTCCTGAAATCATGCATCAACAAACAGATGTGGATAGCGACTCATCATGTCACTCTCTGTTTCCCAAGTGAGATTTGGCCCATTCGAATGTTTCCATTGGACTAGCACTAAGTCGACCATCTTGCGTCGTAACTTTTTAGTCTTACGGTCAACAATTACCTCAGGCTCTTCGATCAGCCTCTTATTCGCATCAATCCTTAATTTCTGAGATTGGAATTATGTCGCGAACTTCTCCCGTGAATTTCCTCAGATGACACACATGGAAGGTGTTATGAATACCATCGAGTTCTTCGGGCAATTCCAGCTTGTAAGCTTGGTTCCTAATGTTCTGAAGAACTTTGAATGGCCCAATAAACCTTGGACTCAGCTTCCCTCGTTTCCCGAACCTTATAAGTCCCTTCCATGGTGAGACTTTAATCAAAACCGAATCCCCAACTTTGAAGGTCATCGGTCGCCTTTTCTTGTTAGCGTAGCTCTTTTGACGATCCTGAGCTGCTAACATTCTTTCTCTGATCACTTTAAGCTTCTCAGCAGTCTCATGGACAATCTCGGGGTCCATAAACTGCTTTTCTCTAGCCTCAAGCCAACAAGACGGCCTACGACACTTCTATCCGTACAAAGCTTGATAGGGTGCCATCTTGATGCTCAAGTGGAAACCGTTGTTGTAAGAAAATTCTACCAAAGGTAAGTGCTCATCCCAGCTACCTTGGAAATCAATGGTACACGCTCTCAGCATATCCTCAAGTGTTTGAATCGTTTTCTCGCTCTGACCATCAGTCTGCGGATGGTAAGTTATACTCAAACACAATTTTGTACCCATTTCCTGTTGTAGGCTCCTCCAAAATCTCGACGTGAAACGACTGTCACGACCTGACACAATCGTTAGAGGTACACCGTGAAGTCTTACAATTTCCTTCACGCAAGCATTTGTGAGCTTATCCATAGACCACCTTTTGTTGGCAGCTATGAAGTGTGCACTCTTAGTGAACTGATCCACGACCACCCAAATCATGTCGTGACCGTTCTTCGTCCTGGGTAGTTTAGTCACAAAATCCATCATGATGTCTTCCCATTTACCCACGGGTACAGGTAAAGGTTCTAAACTCCCATACGGTTTCTGATGTTGTGCCTTGACTCTCGCACAAGTAACACACTCAGCCACATACTTCGCAACATCGAGTTTCATCGTCGGCCACCAATAGTAGGGTTTTAGGTCCGTATACATTTTAGTGCTACCGGGATGAATCGAATACATGGTTTTGTGTGCTTCTTCCATCAGAAGATTTCTTATTCCTCCCGTCTTTGGTACCCAAATTCGATCTTGGAATACCTTCAACCCTTGGTTGTTTGTACCGAACTCCAACGTTTTCCCCAAACGTTCCTCTTTTCGGTCATTCTTCTCAGAAGCTTCCTCTTGAGCTTTCTTTATACTTTCCAAAATGGTCGAGACAACTTCAATTCTCAATGCTCTTGGCCTTTTCCTTTCAAGATTGACTTTCCGACTGAGAGCATCAGCGACAACATTGGATTTACCAAGGTGGTAAAGTATATCGTAGTCGTAGTCCTTGAGTAACTCCAGCCAGCGTCGTTGTCTCATGTTCAACTCCTTTTGATTAAACCCTCCCCCACTTAAACCCTTGACGTCCTCGTCAAGTCTTCTATACATATATCTCGATCTTGTCACGGAGCTACTTCGTGTCTTTTCTTTTTCTCCAAAATATTTCTTCGAGTAAGGTGTGCTTTTATTTCTCAATGTACCTTGAATCATCCTTCTTCTCTCAGCCTCATAACTTATTGAGTAAATCTTTAAGGGGGATATTGATCCTTGTTCCTTAATGTATGCCTTGTTTACTCGAATTTCCCTTTTTGGATTCATATTCTTCTTGATCATATTACTCTAGCAATAACACATGTGCATACTTCCTTTTCTCCTCAGGGCCTTTATGAAACTTCATAGTTGAAAGGGTTCGAGCTTTTGTCTTGCTTATTTCCAAGGGAACTATATGGATAATTGATCCCTTGGTTACATGCATGGTGTTGTCTCTTTCGAACGACCAAGGACATACCATATCTAGGAAGTCCATTCCTAGTACCATGAGATAGTCGTCCATCGTAACCACTATCAAGTCGATGGTCCCTTCCCATTCTGCAATCTTCATGGGTATTCCACGAGAAACTCAAAGGATCGGATTGGATGGAGAGTTGACAACTTTAAACCGACCTAACTCCTTTGTATAGTGAATACCCAACATCTTGGCTTCTTCCTTTGTGATGAAACTATGTGTTGCTCCGGAATCTACTAGCGCGTTAGTGTTCCTTGAATTCACTTTGGCTTCGACAAACATTAGACTCCCTCCTTTATTTTCTTCCATCTTAGATGATTTTATCTTATCTTTCGATATTGAGTTCAGAAAACGCATTGAACTTATTTGTGCTTCATTTTTTTCTTCTTGCAACACCATCGTATAGAATGTTTTTTTCTTCGGACAGTCTCGGATCAAGTGAGGACCATCACACGAGTAGCACTTGATCTCCTTTTGTTCTTCTCTTTGGTATTTTTCTTCGATTGCTTTTCCTTTCGTATTCAAAGGTCAGAGTGTGTCTTGTTTTGGTTCCAATTCTGACATAGTTTGTTCTCCCCCACCATTCTTCTTAATCGTGCTTTCTCTTCGAAATTCCATTAGATCTTCAGCCACGACGATAGCTTCGTTGATGTCTCTAACATTTCTCCACTTGAGCTCATTATAAGCCCAATATTGTAGTCCATCCATGAAATAAAATAGTTTGTCTTTCTCTTGAATGTTGGGTAACTCTAGCATCAAGCTTGTGAACTCGACTATGTAGTCTCGGATGGATCCACTATGCTTTAGCCCACGAAGTTTCTTCATTGTTATGTCTTTAGCATTTTGTGGGCAGAATTGTCTCTTAAGTTGCCTCTTGAACTCTTCCCAGGTGTCTATGGTGTATAAACCATTTTTAATGTCTCTGTGCTTCCTTCTCCACCATAGAGCTTCACTTTCACATAGGTAAAGGATTGTCGTATCGACCTTCGTCTTGTCTTCCTTTACTTGACTAGCATTGAAGTAACATTCCATCGACCAAAAGAATTCTTCAAGTTCTTTAGGGTCGCGTTTTCCTCTATACTTCAATGGTTTGGGTGTGTCCGTATGTGTCAACTTACTCGTAATGGCTCCTCCGACGATTGCTGCCTTACACAAGTTTACTTCGGCTTCCAGCGTAGCTACCTTCTCACGGAAATCATTCAACAAGGTGTTGATAAGTCCAAGGACTTCTTCCTTGGTGACACCGATGGTCTCCTTCAATCCATCGCTCGTGTCACTTATCTCTGTAACAAACTGATCGACGGTATCCTTCCACTCAAGGATCTCACCGACGCTAATCTCCACCTTTGTAAGCTTGTTTTCTAAGCCTGCCAAAGGGTAAACGGATTGGTCCCTCCTCCTGGGCTTTCTTCTTTTCTCCTCGACGACAAGGGGAATGCTACCTGCATCACTTCCTCCTTCCATTGCCATTATCTCTTGCTTGAACGAACTTTGGCTCTGATACCACGTGTCACGGGATGACTCTTTTAGGCTAGTCAATATTATGTGCCACTTAGTGCTTCTCCGACCAAGTCAGGCTAACTTCGTCGATCTAGATGTACTAACGAACTTAGGAAGCAAGAGATGTGATAAGGAATGCTATGAAGTACAAAAGAATCTTCTATTATGTAACTCAACTTCTTTACAAGGCAACTTCTCGATGGTTTGGGCAAATGAACCTTACACCTCCTCAAATGGAAGTTTCTAGGTCCCGATCATTCTTGACTATAGACTCTTCCTATTACATACATGGATTTTACAAGACTATAGAGTATGGTACACTTGTTTACGATGCTCTAGAAATCTCTAGGTCGTCCCGACATTATCCAAATTGTGTCTTATATGATCTAGCATGTTCTAGATCGTTCCAAAGTCTTCTAGGGCATTCTAGCTTCGTCCAGTGCCTTCTTGATTATTCCGGATCGTTCTCCTTTGTTCCACATATATCTATAATATTCTAGTATCTTCTAGGGTCCCGTAGAGCATTCTTGATCTCTCTGGAGACTTCTCGAGCATATTTGATCGTTCCAGAGTTCTCTAGACGATCGTGGAATTTTCCAGAAACTTGGTCTGTGACACACAACACTGCTTTGAAACCTCAGATCCTTCTTGAAATCATGAGCAATCTCTCTTACTAGTCTTTGAAACGGAAGTTTCCTGATCAAAAGCTCGGTGCTCTTATGGTACTTACGGATTTCCCTCAACGTGACTATTCCCAGCCTGAATATGTGAGGCTTCTTCACTCCTCCGGTCGTCGGAGCAGATTTCCTAGCCGCCTTAGTCGCCAGTTGCTTCCTTGAAGCTTTTCCTCCGGTGGATTTGTGAGCGGTTTGCTTTGTTCTGGCCATATTTTAGCTAACAAGAAAATATTGACTGTGTTTAGACTAGAGAGAGATTTGATTGCAGATAGCGATTTCGTCAGGAGTTGAGTTGTTTTATAAGGGTTCTTGGGAACAATTTTTGAAAATTTTGAGGTGGACTTGTAGCGCAAGATTTAGACGGTTAGACGGTTAGATTACTGGAAGAGAAAGTAAACGACTGAGATTTGATATTAGGAGTGGACGCGGATTGAGATCCACGTGTACGACACCCGTGAAAAACAAAGATCCGTAGGGATGTATTTAATTTAAAAATAAATTTTTAATTTCGTATACTAGTCGTTAGACCTATAGTTGTCAAAATCACGATCCTGATCGTACGATCCTATAATCCTAAGTATGAAAAACAATTCGGATTGTAAACGAATCGTATTTGGGGTAGGATCGTAAGATCGTAGGATCGAGATCCGATCCTACCTTCCTTTGATTTTTTTTTTTACCATTTTATGTTTTTTTACCATTTACCAATTTATCGATTATCATTTTGTGTTGTGACTTATAACTAATATTTTGAAGTTTTTATAACTTTTGAACGAAAAATTGAATGTTTAAAATATTTTTCACGATTAAAAATGAAAAATTAAAATTATATTTTAATTTGTGGGATCTTAGGATCCCAATCCCGATCTTACGATGTCGATCTTTTAAATCCAAAAATGATCATACATAGGATCCCGATCTTGACAACCTACTTATATCCAAACTTTTTTAATTATCACACTCCTATTTTTATTACATTTTTTATTTTGAATTTGGTTTCTTTTTACTAATTAGTTGGGCTAACTCGTAATTATCTAGTAATGTCACAAATAAGTATAACAACTACTAAGTCAATCAATATTCAATATGTTTTTTAAGTTCAGCACAGTCAATATTCTTGTTCGTTATATTTCCCTTAATTTGTCTATACGATGTTTTTGTCAAGCATAATACATAAATTGTATCAACCTCTCCACACAATTGTGAATTGTCTTCTTCTCGAGAAGGCAATGAACTAAGAGTGAGAAAGGAGAGAAGACAATGATGTGTTGGTAAGACTTGAAAATAAAGCCGACAATATTTTAAGCGAGCAAAAGATAATATAATAGATTTTCGTCAAAATATGTTTGGAGGATTGGCAAATCTCGTTGCACCAATGCTACGCAAGTCAAAGAAACAGATGAAGCTGATGATGATGTGGAGATGGAAAAGATGGAATACTTAAGGATGATTAATTTATAAAGGATTAATATTAAAAATATTAAATAAGCTTTATTTACTTTGTGAATGTCAACCTCGTCCCCAAACAATTTATTACTCTATATCATATTTTATACTTAATGAACAATAACGTAACTTAAAGATTGTCCACGAAGAGATATTGCACATTCTCGACATTACTTGTAACATCCAAACATTACACTCAATTCTTGCTTTTTAAAACATATTTTATTAATTAAAAACAACATTTACTCCAAAACCTTTCACTCTTAAATCAAATCCCACAACTTAAACAACATTAAACAAAATCATAATTCAAAACTCTCAAATGGAAAACCCCAATCATTACAAAGAAATGACATTTAGTGGCATAGAAAAAAGATCACTAAAAACCGAAAAAGTGTCAAGGCCCGTAAACAATCAGTGGTACAAAAAAAATATGCCACTAAAGACTTTTAGTAGCACTTTTTGGTTGTGCCGCTGAAACTTTTTTAGGTTTTAGTGGTACTTTTCTATTATGCTACTATAACATGTTTATCTTTATAGGTTTTAGTGGCACAATTCCAGAGCTTATATTGTTGCTATTCATTTATCTTTGATCAACTTGGAATCCTCCTCATATGCTAACTTAGTGTTTCAACAACCATCTTATTGCTTCCTACATTGGAAGATATTCACTAAAGAAAAATATGATATAAACATGAGAACACAACATAAAATGCAAATAATTATAATTTTTGAAAAGATGGAGGCTATGAAGTGTTTAGTTGATTAAAAAAAATCATAAAATTCATTTGTTTGTCCTCGTAAGATTATTACAAGTTAGAATAAGACATCAATAATGTTTTCTATGCTAAATATAACGTAATGAACAAACTATTTTGCACGTCAATCATGTGGGAAATTTCACTGTGAATCACAGTTGAAAATAAGACAATTGAAGCTTACAATGTTTGTCTCTCATACCAAACATACTCCACATCCTTCAACCAGACATACCTAATGATATTCTAACACTGCCAAGATTGCTTCCAATAGTCGTAATGGCTTACTTAAAGCGTATAAAAAACTAAAGGTGTCATGATATAGATCATTAAGAATAAATATGATTTATACAAGTATCAAGAATTAAAGCATGACGTGCATGATTTCAAGAATCATAAATGGTTTCAGATGTTATTGAAAATGATAAATCTTAACATAATATTTACTTTCTATAAAAATTATATAAAAGACTCATCATCATATAGGTTCATATTTAAAGACCATAAATTACAAATTAGGTGTCATCTTTTATAGCTCATTTAACTAATTAACATCAATTTACGTCTAAACCAGAGACAATAACAACATACATGGAGGACTAAAAGGACAAAAGGTAGGGTTCAGTCACCTCATATTGAAACTAAACTACCTTCTAAGTGAACTAAAATTATTTCCAATGGAAACATGATAATTGACAATGAAACTTCGAAAAAGTTGAGTTTATGTATTTAACTAGAGTGACCAAAAGAATCATAAACAACATAATCCAAACAAAGTCTCTCATAAACATTGATGTAGAGGATGTCCAGTTTATAAAATGGATTTTAAAGAATCAAATACATTGAGGTTCATGAAGTGGAAACTTACCCATCATCACTTGGTTAACTATAGGCGTTAAACTATAAGAGTTAGGGTTCACTGCACATTGGTATTGCTAAATGTAAGGGTACTGGAAGTAAAGAAATTGCTATTGATTCTCAGTAAAGTAACTCTAAATCGTAAATGGCGGCTGGGGATTTCAACTCAGAAAGAAATAATGGCGGTCAAATATTAAGGGTTTGAAAAAGAGGCAAGGCAGTTGAAGAGAGTTAGGTTTTAAATGATGGGAAATGATGGGAAGATACGTACCTAAAGAACCAAAACAAAAACTTGTTGAAACGATAAATGATAGTCTATGTAATTTCAGTTCATAAACGCTAATATAGTTAACTTTAACTGAAAGGAAAGGTACCTTGTTAAAATTAGGTAGCATGGTTGTTCTAACAAACCAGTTCATCCTATTGATGAAAAAAAAAGATCACAATGATGCAATCAGTAAAAAATAGAAAATAAATGTACATAACAACTTACGTTTCTTTAATGTAAAGGGGAGGGACCGAACTATAAGCCCTAAATGGAACTCAGGTTGTTGATATCTTAACAAGCCCTCATTAAACTCAAAAAATAAAGAGAGGGTCGGAGATGGTTGAGAGAAGTTGTCGGAAGTACTCGCCAAGTATTCTTACGAACGAATGGAAAGTGAGTAGAGATCCATGAGAATTTGGGAAACGAACTAGGGCAAGGAATGGATATTAAGGTATATGGTTGAGACCAATCTTTTTTTAAGTTTTAGGTGGGCGAAATGATCTACTAAATTATGGGAAATAAGAGCGCGCAACTTGAATTCATAATTTCCAATGAAATAGGAGTGGGCTACTAGATTTTTGATGTATAGTGGCATAAAAATATTTGTGCCACTAAAAACTTGTGCCACCAAATGTAATTTTGTTTGTAGTTAATACAAACAAACTACACTAATGTGTACCGTGAAGCTTTGCCATGAAGTTTGTATCCTTTTGGTCCCCTTAGTTTGATATTTTGAGTATGAACTACTCTAATCCATTTAATATGTCATTTCAAACGTTTTGAGGTGTTTAGAAGCATAAAATGTAGTCTTGATAATTTATTCCCTTTCATGCATGAGTTACAAGGTCTTAATGGGTTAAGTAGTTAAGGTTTTTATTGTTAAACACATATTGTCCATGCAAGACCATAAATATGGAAACTTTATGGTCAAAGATGACATCTGGGGCTTGGATCTAATTTTGGACATAAGGACTTGGTGTATTAAGCTCTTAATAAGAAATGGGGCTGACTAGGTGCGTACGTTGGGCATACCAAATGGTACGATGTGCGTACACGGTCAAATCCCTGACTTTTGGGTAAAACAGAGTACGCCCCATGTACAAATGAGTACTCCCAATGTACTTGGTTGGGTTGAATCGACTGGTTTGTTGACTTTGACCTTTGACCAAGTTTGACCTAAGGGTATCTTAGGTAATTTGAGTGGTATTTGAGGTTCGATCGTTATTTGGTGTTTAGGTGACCAGTAGAGTTGTCATTCAGAGTTGTGTTCTGTCAGATATCTTTTCAGACTGAGATGTTAGTTTTCCTCACTATACTTGTGGGTCGAATGCACCGATACCGACCCATTATATTATTTATCGTGGTTCTAAGATAGTATTATGCTAGTACGTGATTGAGTAGTAAATCTATATGGTTATCTATATTTGATGGTTCTGTGTTTTTGTTTGTTTGTTACATATGGCGACATATTGTGGTTGGGTTGAGGCAGTCCTACTTTGTGATGAAGGCCAAGAGTGGTCGATATAGACTTTAGGCCATGCAAAGCGATCCAATCGTATCGAACGCTTATATTTGCATGCTTTGTTTTGTTATGTAGTGTGTTGGTACTTTGGGGGAACTCACTAAGCTTTGTGTAACACTGTAAAAATTAAGACAATTTTTCACATTTTCAAAACACATTCATTAATAAAATCTCATTGTATCATATCATTTTTCACAAAACATTTCCCAAGATCAAATCATAATAAACTTCGCAGGTGTGTGTACAGATCATGCCGTCGCCTTCCCGCGATCATCACTGGTACCTGAAACACATAACACATAACACTGTAAGCATAAAGCTTAGTGAGTTCCCCAAAATTCCACACATAACAAATACTAGCCACTCGAGACTATAACACTGTAGGCCCTAACTCTATGGACCCTCTGGTCCTAGCTCTGTGAACCTTCTGGTTTTAACTATGTTATACTCTGATATACACATGGCATAAATCACATAGAAATAATGCAGTGCAGCACATCACATAAATAGCATACAATAACTCTGTCACATAACTCTAATTACCACTCAAGGTAAAGTATAGTGAAAAGACTTACCTCAAATGTCTCGGTAAATCCCTAACTTGGTAGCAGTATAGTCTAGCCTCCGCCTAATCACATAAAGTAAAATACGCTCATAAATATAACTCTCGAGACTAGACCCAACCCTCTCTTAGCACCCTCAGATGGGTAAAATACCATTTTACCCCTCTTTTGACTCAAAGACCCCATTGTTGACCAATCCCTAAAAGTCAACAAAGTCAACGGTCAAACTTTGACCTGACTCGTCAAGTGCACTTGGGCGACTCAGCGAGTCTACACGTGTCCACTATCTCTCTAGCTTCTCATCACACGTCGAGCCTTCCCCTCACTCGACGAGTTACACCTGGCATGAATCACGGGGCCACCCCGACTAAACTCAGCGAGTTCCACCTGTAATCCTCTACCTCCTTCTGACTCACCGAGTCATTCCTCCAACTCGACAAGTTACTCACTGAGTGACTTACGGGAAGCCCTAGCCCTACTCGCCAAGTTTGTTCTTGGGACTCAGCGAGTTCATGCCATGCTCGAGCTCAAATGAGCTCCTGAGGTCAGATCCGTTCCTCTAACTCATAGATCTGGCCTCCTAAAGCAATAAAAACACGTAAAGTTTAGATCTTGATGCCCATGCAAAGACCTAATGGCTCTATTTGAAGAAATGGCCTCAATATGCCATCCAAAACTCATATCTCTCCAAGACACTCAATAAAGATCAAGGATTTAAGGTCTATGGACCTCTTTGGATCCATTTTCGAAGCCTCAACACAAGAAGGGACCAATTGCACTAGCAATCATACTCTAAATGGGCTAGAAACCCTAACTCTCAAGGATTAACACCCAAAACTAAAGAAGGATCGAATATGTACCTCAAGATGAAGTCCTTAAGCTCTGAAATCCACATATTAGCTCCCTCTCCAACTTCCTCTTGCCTTGGTCACCTTCTTCTTGCAAAATCACCCACACAGGGATAAAAAATGACTTCCTTTCTTTCTCAAAACTCTCACACACTCTGGGATCTCTCTATCAACTGGTAGCCGCAAATGAAGGCCATAAGGGCCTTTAAATAGGTCTCAAACCCCGGAAATTAGGGTTTCATTAAAACAGTGCGGACTCGCCGAGTCCACTAGTCGACTCGCCGAGTCCGGTCATTAACCCGGATGGAAATTCGTGACTCTACTCGGCGAGTCTAAGCATCAACTCGCCGAGTCTCTCTCAAAATATCCAAAATAATAAATACATAATGTACCTGGACATCCGGATGTTACACTTTGACTTACAATTTTAGTTTATTGTTTCAGGTACTTATGAGAATCGTGGGAAAGCGAAAACTTTATCATGCACAGCTTCCTATTTTCATTATATGGATTTTTAAGACACTGTGATATGACTTTACTTCTGAAACAATGACTCTTTTTGTAAACAATAATGGTTAATGGTTGATTTTTAAATTTTTAAAATTTTATGACTTTTAGAGTGTTACAAATTTCAGATTAATTCAGATTAATAATTAGTTAATCATAATTGATTTCTTATTAATTTATTAACTATATAAATTAGCAAATCAATTATTTAACTAATGATCTCGTGTTAATTTATTAATAAAATAACAAATTAATATATCAATTATCTATTCCCAATTAATGTACTAATCACATAATATATTAACACATCATTTTTTTTCTCTCTCTATCTTAATATCATTTCTAACTATGTCTTGTTATGAGGACAACCTAAAAAGGTATTTGTTTATACTGATACCAATTTAATTATGAGTTTAAACACCTTAATCCAACAATTTTATCGTAAAAATGGAAAATTTATGTTGAAAATCAGGACGTCACAACCACCATCACCAACGACGTCACTATCTTCCTCCATCATCACCAACTTTAACCACCTCCATTTCTGCTATACCTCCTTTACCTTTTCCTTCCACCTTCGTGCAAAAACCACTCTAGAAACAAAACCACACACAAAACATGGAATTGTTCCTAAGTTAGCCCCCATATATGAAAACGGAAATCAAAATGGAGTATTTAATATTTGAAATAAATGTGTTTTTTTTGGAAAATGGAAATTCGAACATGTTCATCCAATACGCAATACTTAACCATCAAACTTGCAAATAAATAAAAATAAATTTCAGCCATAGTTTCTTTAGCCATGCTCTTCACCAAAAAGGAGGGAGATCATTTTAGAAACCATACGCAACTCACATGACTAAAATTTATTAATTTACGAAATCTAATTGTTATTCGATGACACTAGAAAAAACAACGATAAATAAGCATAAAGAGAACGAAAGGATAGTGTAGAGATGAACACATAAAAAATGGAAGTAATTCCCAAAATTAGGGTCTTACATGCTTCCCTAAATGTTGTTCTTTCAACATCTTTATGGTAATATCTTTATGGATCAACACAATCTCGAATCAACTAAAAGTGATCTCTTCCCTTTCTCTTCATAAACATCATTTATGTCACAAAACTAATATTAATAACAAGGTTTTACATGAACACACTTGTACACCAACATTTCTCCTAAAATAGTTGAACACTAGTCACACATTCTAGATCGGTTTCGTACTTGAATGTATACGTATTTAGCGTAATTGAAAAGAACACGAGTAGTTGAAGGGAATAAAGAGGGAAGCCACTTGGTTAATCAGTGGCTGAATTTGGAAGAAATCTACAAGTTCGACCGATATAAATCGAGCCATCCAACGAACTAAGGTTTACTTGTTTCAACGGATTGGAATGACGAAAAAAAAGATGATTGTGTGTAAGTGTGTTCATGAAGATGTTTTTGAGTGTTTATGAAGAACTCAAACCAAAATAAATACACAATTTTTTTTTTTCATTTTTTTATGAATAACAATAGTATAAAATGAAAAAAAATAAAAAAGACTTTGCAATATGGTCCGACCAAAAATAAAAAGAAAAACCATAACAACCGAACTCGTAAAAATTTCAATAAGTTGTACTTAATTCAGGCAAACCATAGGATATATTTTTTAATATGTCAATCTATAATTACTTTTATTTTTACATTTGTCTAATAAAAAAAAGAATCGTAAAATTTACTCTAGGAGCCGAGCCGCACCCAGCCATTCATTGCAACCCTAATACACATATAACGCACCCTCACAAATAATTCCTTCTTTCGTTTCATCGTCACTCCCATACCTCCTCTCCTGTTCTTTATTCATTTTTTTGCTTCCACCGTTTCCAACTGATCTGTGTATAAATCACAGTTTTCCCAATCCATATTATTCATCATCATACATACACTTATCACGAATTCGCATCGGCAAGTAAGATATCTATCTATATGCTACCGTCTATTCTTTACCACAACTCTGTACTCGATTTTCATGCTTTTGTTGTAGATTCGATTCGATGTCGGACGGACTAATTTGAAAATACTTTTTGATTGTAGTTTATTTGTTGCTTGTAGATTGGGATTTGAATATGTATGTTTTTTGTGATGTAGTCTGATGTTGAAAATTTGTGTGTTTTTAGGGTTCCCAAGGTGTTTTGAGTCTGCACTGGTGAGATTGGAGTAGTTTATTTGTCGACATCATATTAGATTGATGGGAAAAAAGAAGCCGACAGCTCGTGAGGAGGACGGAGGCGCAGTTGGGAGCAAGTCGAGGAAGAAAGCTGTAGTAATTGATGATGATGAATACTCTGTTGGAACAGAAGTGTCCGAGGAGAAATCAGTTCAGGAAGAAGAGCATGTGGCACCGGTTGCTGGTAAGAAAAAAGGTAAGAAAGGTAAGAATTCGCGAATAAAAGAAGAAGAAGAAGATGTGGAGGATGGTGATAATCCTCAGGAGAGTCAATTTACCGGGAAGAAGAAATCAAAGTCCAAAGCGAAAAAAGGTGGGAGTTCATTTGGTGCTTCAACATCATTTGCATTACTTGGTGACGAAGATGATGAAACTTCTGAAGTAACAAAGGATGAAGAAGACGATGTCAGTGAGGAAGAGGATACTAGCCTTGTCTTTACTGGAAAGAAGAAGCCATCAAAGTCCAAAAAGGGAGGTAATTCATTTGCTGGTTCTGCATTTGCTGCAATTGGGGATGATGATGATGTTGAAGATTTACTAGAGGAATCAGGATCAAAACAACAATCTGAGGATGAAGATGAGCCAGTCATTTCCTTTACAGGGAAGAAGAAATCATCCAAATCTAATAAGAAAACCAGTGGTAGTATATTTTCAGCTGCACATTTGCTAGATGAAGAAAACGAGAAAGAAAGTGATGAGGAGGATGATGTCCCCATTACCTTCTCTGGTAAGAAGAAGTCTACCAAGTCATCAAAGAAGAAAACCAGTCCACCTGATGTTGCATTAGCTGGTGGAGGGACAGATGAAGATGTTTCAGTTTCAGGGTTGACTGATGAAGACTCTTCTACAATAAAGTTTTCTGGTAAAAAGAAGTCATCCAAGAAGAAAAACAGTAACACAGTGAATGCAGTTGATGAACAAGAACAGCCTAGCACCAGCATTACTAACAAAGAAGCTGATGTTGTACCAGAAACTTCCAAAAACAAAAAGAAGAAAAAGAAAGGTGGAAGAACAGCTCAGGAAGAAGATGACCTGGACAGAATTCTTGCTGAACTTGGTGAAACTTCCGCCCCTGCCTCTGCCCCTCCCCCACCTTCTGCCACTGTAGAACAGCCACAGGATGAGAAGGCTCAACCTGAGGCAGAACCAGCAGATGAAGGTGGTGAAAAGGATACGAATGAAGAGGCTGTAGAGTCTGCAGCTGCTAAAAAAAAGAAAAAGAAGAAAGAAAAGGAAAAAGAAAAGAAAGCTGCAGGGTTAAAGACAGCTGCAGCCCCTGTTGTGGAGGAAAAACAAGTGGAATCAAAGAGTAAAGTACCTGATAAGAAGGTTCCAAAACATGTTAGAGAGATGCAAGAAAGACTCGCAAGGCTTAAAGAAGCCGAGGAAAAGAAGAAAAGAGAAGAAGAGGAGAAGCTAAGGAAAGAAGAAGAGGAGCGTTTAAAACAAGAAGAACTTGAAAGGATTGCAGAAGAGAAAAAACGTTTGAAGAAGGAAAGAGAAAAGGAAAAAATGTTGAAGAAGAAACAAGAAGGAAAACTTTTGACAGCAAAACAGAAGGAAGAAGCCCGAAGATTGGAGGCAATGAGGAATCAAATACTAGCAAATGCTGGTGGTTTGCCTGTATCTGCACCAACAAAACGACCCAAGTACCAAACAAAAAAATCAAAGCCACATGCAAATGGCAAAGGTCCTTCTGCCAGTGCTAATGAAGTCACAGAAGCAGAAAAGGTTGATGATGTGGAAGTTGAGAAATCTGATGACATGGACATGGAAAAGATAGAAGCTCAGTCAGTTGAAGAGAATGGGAACAAAGAAGATGAAGAAGAAGAAGATGATGATGAATGGGATGCAAAGAGTTGGGATGATGCTGATCTCAAACTGCCAGGTATAAGTGCATTTGCTGATGAGGAGGAATCCACTGCACCTCAACCTAAACCTGAATCTGTAACCGTAGTTAAAAAGGAGATTAAGAGTAGTAATGATTCAGGGGCAACTAATGTACCCAAAGAAATGCATCAAAATCACGATAGTAAGGAAAATCAACCTGCAACAGTTGTTGCAAACAAAGGTAAGGGTAAAAAGGAAGAGAAGAAGGAAGAAGAAGATGGTGAAAAGACGCTTCGGTCCCCAATATGCTGCATTATGGGTCATGTTGATACTGGGAAAACCAAGTTGCTTGATTGTATTCGAAGGACTAATGTTCAAGAAGGTGAAGCTGGAGGAATCACCCAACAAATTGGTGCCACATACATTCCAGCTGAGAACATTCGTGAGAGAACAAAAGAATTGAAAGCTGATGCAATACTTAATGTCCCTGGTTTATTAGTTATTGATACACCTGGCCATGAGTCCTTCAAGAACTTAAGGTCTCGGGGTTCTGGTTTATGTGATATTGCCATTTTGGTTGTTGACATTATGCATGGGTTGGAACCACAGACTATTGAATCACTAAATCTGTTGAGAATGAGGAATACAGAGTTCATTGTGGCCTTGAATAAGGTTGACAGATTATATGGGTGGAAAACATGTCGCAATGCACCAATTGGGAAAGCAATGAAACTTCAGTCCAAAGATGTTCAACTTGAATTCGAGCATAGGCTCACTCAGGTAATTGTAAATTTGTAATCCCACAAGAACATCTGTTTTTCTTTTCTTGCTGGCTTTCTCATGATTTGTGCTTTGTGACTTCAGATAATTACAGAATTCAAGGAGCAAGGATTGAATACCGAATTGTACAGCAAGAACAAAGACAGAGGAGAAACTTATAGTATTGTACCCACAAGTGCTATCAGGTAGTTTTTTTATGTGATCTACTTACTGTTCACAC